TGCTTTGTGCATTTAATATGTGCGTATGCTATTGGATTTGCTGAGACTGTAGTCTTGTTAAACACATTTTTTTTGGGTCACAAGGGACAGGGATGGACATTCTGTGTGGTTTTTGTTTGCATAGCTATAGGACGTTTGTTATAAAGATGAAGCTGCAATCACGTGCTAATATTTTTATGTACATCTACACAGATACTAAACTTACAGCTATGTCACAGTCAAGAAGGGTGCTACCATCAAGCTAGAAAGACATCTGTCAAGGACAGGCAAACCAGTAGGACAATCTTTCAAGGACAGGCAAACCAGTAAGACATCTGTCAAGGACAGGCAAACCAGTAAGACATCTGTCAAGGACAGGCAAACCAGTAAGACATTTGTCAGGGACAGGCAAACCAGTAAGACATCTGTCAAGGACAGGCAAACCAGTAAGACATCTGTCAAGGACAGGCAAACCAGTAAGACATCTGTCAAGGACAGGCAAACCAGTAAGACATCTGTCAAGGACAGGCAAACCAGTAAGACATCTGTCAAGGACAGGCAAACCAGTAAGACATCTGTCAGGGACAGGCAAACCAGTTAGACATCTTTCAAGGACAGAAACCTCAGATTGGCAGTTTGATACAAATGGGTTAGCCAACCGAGGGGTGCAGATGAGACTGACTGTAGCACTATCCACAAGTATATACAGACATTATTTTATGAAACTGCATCCTGCTAAGTGGCTGTTCTAGAATGGAGCCAGTGCTGAACTGCATTCACAGCATCCAAGGTGAGATATCCAGTGTTATTTATATTTCACCCTTGCTTACTTACTTAGATGAGATTTTATCTTCATTGTAAATCAAACCAGCCAGTCCTTAAGTGCTCAGATCCACTCCTGAGTAAATCCTGCAGTGTGTGTGGCTGACTACACTAGTTCGTGTTGGTTTCTTCTTTTTATTTGTCTTCATGTTTTCCTTTATAGTGCTCTTGTGTGGCCACACCCCTAACTTGATGTTCTTGCAGTTTGGCCATGCTAGGAGATTCATTTATCACTTGATTCTTGCAAATGTATTACTTCTAAAGCATTCAGTAGACCCGCCTGGTCCATGGCCTGCCTTGCAGATACACTGAAAAATGCTTTCTTTGAAATGAACAGAAGGGCCCATTTTAGAGATCTTTTCCTGCCCTGACACCATGATGCATTCCAAGAGTAGAGAGAAGAAGAAGAGGTTACTGCCATGGCCTTCATAGTCAGACTAAGTGTAGTCAAAGCATTATTGTAAACCTTCACTTGTTATTTAGTAATTTCTTTACCATGTGGATTCCAAGGCCACATTTTTGTTGGGAAAGGGAGCTGGGGAGGGGAATAGAACCACTGCCGTCCTAAAAAGCAAGTTGTAGAAGGTGACTAATTAAAGGATTCCTTCGAAGTCTGAGTGCATCTGCCTGAAGGTGAGGAACCAACAGTTTTGCGTGCATAACTCAAGTTCTGAACTGGACCAAAGTCTAGAAGTGGACAAACAGCCAGAACTTTCCGCTGGAGTTTACAGCTGGTTAACGCTAAGAAAGAAAGATTTAGTACTTTCCTGAAGTGAAGACCCCCATTTCTACCTCTTCACGTTTTAGTGTATGAGAGCCACCATGTTGTACCGGCTAGATGCTCGCCTGCTGCTCCGAAGGTCGTAAGTTCACATCCAGACAGTGGTGGAAAAGGGACCTTTACTTTACTTAATCAGTTGTGGACCTTGTAAGATGCTACATAAATGCTGGCATTCGCAGCCTAAAGTGATCCATCTATCCATCACTTGCATGGGTGACCTTTATTTCTGCTTACTGTATGTCTGAGTGACAGGGCTGCTTGTGGTGCACTGTCATGTTGTAGTCTTGTCACAGGGCCGCACAATTTGTCTGTTGTTCCTTGATGTAACGCTTCGTAATGCCGGGATGCCGGGTTCGATCCCAGCTGCGTGCCATGTGCCATGCGTTGGTTTCGACAGTGGTATCAAGAAAGCTGACCGTCCAGAAAGCAATGGCAAACTTCTAGACGTAAATTTGCCTATAAAAACCACACAATGGGGTTAGTTCTGCAACGTCCTATAAAGGATACGCAACTAACCTTTCCTTGATGTAGTTTATCACTGGTTCCATCCCAGCCCTGTGGCTTGATATCATCATATCTGATCCATTCTCTTTTTGTTACACTTATAATTCATCGGAGACATTTAATTTCTGTTGTTTTAATTTCTGTGCTATTGTTTTCTTGTTAAATGACCAAAGAAACCGTTTGGGAGTCAGTAAACATAATAGAAGCACAGAAAGATCATCGTGGTCAGGAGAGAACAATAACCTATGATGCATTCCGTCTCACTGTCAGAGTTTTATGTTTTATTCAACGGATCAGCATCATAGCACATGGGCGTCCAGTTTTACTACCTAGAGACCAGGGAAATAGTTAAGGGCAGACAAAGAAGAAGAAGAAGGAGGAAAGGGAAACAAAGAATAGTAACACTTTAACACTTTATAAAAAGTAACTACGACAAGTTGGCATTAAGCTGTCTACCATATACCAAGGACAACTTGGTCTTATATGTATTTATATATGTATATATATATATCTTCCCTATGCTCTTCCTTTATGTTGCGTTTGTTTATTGCAGGTGCAGAGACAGATTATAGTGAGATTCGGGTGAGTAATTTATATTTGTTGAAGATGGATGTTCATGTCTGACATCTTGTATTGCCCCTGTGTTACCAAGAATGGAAGCAGATAATAATTGAATTGTAATCTACATACATTTCATGAAGAAATAAACCTAACAGAATTAGTCAGTGTCCCCCCAACAAAACACACTCACAATGACACTGCCAAAAAACTGCCAACTACGAATTGCTGCCTCTATTATATCACTTTTGTTGTGTGGGGGGGGGGGTGTCTTCGAACCTAAGCATTTAGGGCCAGAAGGCTAGTGCTGTTGCCATGGAATGTGCTAGTGATAATTTTGTGTGTGTGCCTCTGACAGAAACAAATTCCCAACCTTACCGAGGATTTGAGCCCAGGTCTCTTGCATAAGAGCCCGCGTTCTAACTGTTCGGCCAGTTGCTCCGAATGGTAATGATGCTTACTTAATAGCTCCTCTTCAATGGGGTGTAGAAGTTTGCCAGAGATCACCAGACTTATCTGTCAGCAGTTTTTGGTTTCCTTTGTGATGTGATATTGTAACATTCCTATAGTAATTGGTTTTCCTTTGCGATGTAATATTGTAGCATTCCTGTAGTATTGGTTTCCTTTGCAATGTAATATTGTAGCATTTCTGTAATAATTGGTTTCGTTTGCAATGTAATATTGTAGCATTCCTGTAGATTTGGTTTCTTCTTCTTCTTTCGTTCACCTGAAATAAGTTGTCTATATCAACAATTTTGTCTCTTGTATAAATTTCACTGTCGTTGTTAGTTCATTCAGTGGTCCATAGAGTTTATGCTCCACTGTTGCCAAGAGGTTTGCCTTACTGTGTCAAATTCAGTGCAGTCCTGGAGAACATGCTCTGCTGTCTGGGGCACCTTTTCACAGGTGCACATGGCTGATACGCCTATCTTAAATTTTGTGTACATGTTGTTACGTATTCGGTTGTGTCCTGTTTTGAGGCGGAGGATAATGACTTGTTCTGATTTGTCCATAATAAAATAGTCGTCTTGTGCTGGGGCTGGTGGTTTCCTGATCGATTTAATGATTCTTTTCTTTTGGTGGCATGTGACTGGTACATCCGGCTGCTCTTTTGTCACACCTTCCCCTGCCAGTTGATCAGCTTTCTCATTTCCAGGCACTCCACAATGAGACGGTATCCACTGCATTACGACTCTTCGCTGAAGGCTAAGTTGTGTCAGCAGTGTTTACAATTCCAGTAGTTTCCTAGACTGAGTGCTTTAAGTACTGATTTTGCATCTTTCATGATTACCACTTACTGGGAGCCAAGATTGGTATTTAGCAGTTTCTCTGTTGCTATCTTGATAGCCTGAGTTTCTGCATCCTAGTTATGGCAGTACTTCCCAGTTGGTATACTGGACTTATCCCTAGTACCATCTAGGAATTCTATGTACACTCCAGCACCACCATTTATAACTGCACTTTGTGCGGACCCATCTGTATAGACTCTGACCCATTGTTCTTGCCGGTATTCTTCATCAATATAACTGAGGGTGGCCATTCTGCTTTGTACACTATCTTGCTCTTTGTTTTCAAATATTCCTTTCATATTTGTCTGGATTTGTACTGTTAGTTTGCATGTTTCTCTCCCTGGGGTTTGTTCTTGAAAACTTTTAAGGTGACATCCAATTTCTGGAACATCAGCAGTTTGTCTACATATTCTTTTAGTATTTGGTTTCCTTTGGGATGTAATATTGTAGCATTCCTGTAGTATTTAGTTTCCTTTTGGATGTAATGTAGCATTTATGTATTTGGTTTCCTTTTTAATATAATATTGTAGCATTCCTGCAGTATTCGTTTCCCTTTGTGGTGTAATATTGTAGCATTCCTGTACTATTTGGGTTCCTTTGTAATATAATATTGTAGCATTCCTGTAGTATTTTGTTTTCTTTGTAATATAATATTGTAGCATTCCTGTAGTATTTGGTTTCCTTTGTAATATAATATTGTAGCATTCTTGTAGTATGTGATGCCTAAGTTGAATACTTAGCATTGAGTATTAGAAAGAGCAGGTATTACAACAGTCTTCTCAATGCTCAATCTACAAAGGCTCAGATGGCTGGGTCACACTTAGGGAATACAGGATGCAGATATAGTTTCATTTCTGCAGTATTTGATTTTCTTTTTAATATAATATGATAGTATTGTGGTAATGTTTGATTTCCTTTATAATGTATTCTAGCAGCATTTCTGAGGTCTTTGATTTCCTTTCTAATATAATGTCATAATATTTCTGCAGTAGCATTTCTTTTCATAGTTTTTGTCACACCTACATTGTTTATTCCAGGTATACAAAAGAAGATGGTACGTCTTACTTATGTACAGCATGTACGCCTTCATGCAGTCAGCAGTGTGGAACACATGGGGGCCCATATCAACCACCAGTGAGGATGCCTTTGGTTGGGATGACTCCACGGTAGCCTTGCTTAACAACTGGGGGCCAATTTCCTATATGCTGACTGGCCTGTTTTATCCCTGGCTTCTGCAGGTTAAAGGTAGGCTTGATGTGTATTGTTTGTTGTAATTAAATATCTTTGCTGTTCTTGGCACCTTTCTGTTAGTTCGGTCAATAGTGTTTCACTGTGCTACAGTGGTGAGCACCACCTTAAAAGGTTGAAAATCAGTGGGCACCACCTTAAAAGGTTGAAAATCAGTGGGCACCATCTAACAAAGGTTGAAAATCAGTGCGCACCACCTTAAAAGGTTGAAAATCAGTGGGCACCACCTAACAAAGGTTGAAAATCAGTGGGCACCACGTAACGAAGGTTGAAAAACAGCAGGCGTCACCTAAAAGAGGTTGAAAAATAGTAGGTGACACCTAAAAAAAGGTTAAAAATCAGTGGGCACCCCTTAGAAAAGGTTGAAGATCACTTTGGGGCAATAAGGTATAGGAATCACAGGCCATTGTGATAGTTTTTAGGGCCACGGATGATATTTTTGCTCTCCACTGCACAAATCCAGGGCACAATTGTATAGACCACATGTGATTTCTATGAAGCTTGTTCCTCGTCCCAGAAAGCTTTGTAATCTCCAAAGTAAAGGTATCATTAAAATATTTAGAACAAAACGTTGCTGCAGAAACTGCTGGATCAAAAAAGCAGTACTCTTTGTGTCCACTGGTGGAGCTCCACTTCTAGACCATGTCGGTGTATTGGGAAAGAGCAGGCAGATAGACTGGCCAGTTCTGCACCACTTGGTGGTGAACTGATGTGCGACAAGCTGGATGTTGTGAGGGTCCTTTGGAAGCGAGTGAACAGTGCCGAGGCACAGATAGATCCCTACGGTCTGCGAGGAGTTACAAAGGGATCTGGCCAACGCTCGACATTCAGGTGAAAGGTGATACGAATATACGGTCAGACAGTTACTGGTACCATCGGAATTTTAACTCTTCACTTGCTGCTGAAGCTGGGAACGGAGCGCTTATGGGTGTGCCCTAAGTGCTATGATGTTGATTATTAATTGAACATTCTAGACCAGCTGCCAGTGAGAGCCAAAGACCTGATTTGCCCTGCCACAATAAGTTTCAGGCTGCATTTCCTCGTCCAAGGCTGAGGCTGGGATCCTCCTTAGGGTGCTTTTGGCACAAGTGGAATGTCCAGCTGTTCATGTCTTGGCTAGACTACTATAAATTGATTGGTTGCTTGGTCAACTGGGATGATGTCTGCAGTCTTGTGCCGTAGATTTTCTCTGTATGATGCAAGTCTTCGAAATGCTGTCCCTAATAGCTTCGCGCTATCAGATCAAAATTTCGAATTGCATTTTTTATTTCACTGCTTATGCTACCTCCCTTACGGTGCTACCTGATGCAGCTGCATCTCTGTATCATAGTATAGCATGGCACTCGAATTTCTGAGATTTACGCGAAGAATACCATGTACGGACCAAGACAAAAAAACATCAACACACACACCAAGATATACACATCTGTGTATGTTTATGTTTGTGTGCATACATACTTACAAAAAAAAACCCCAAAAAACCACATAATTACTATACAGGTTTGTTGCAACTTGCAACAGTGTCCCCCAGTGTGAGTTGCCAGTTACGAGCAGTGTCCCCCGTGTGAGTTCCGGGGCCCTATTATAGGGAAAACAAGAATAGACCCACTGCCTACGCTAAAGCATGTCATAAGAGGACTAATTGGAAGCTTTCTTCGAAGTGGGAGTGCATCTGCTTGAGAGGCAAGGAACCAACAGTCTGCACTCAAATCTCTCAGATCTGTCAAATGGATGCACATGCAATAATCAGGTTCTGGAACAAGACTTTAGTCCAAAAGTGGACGAACAACCAGAACTTTCCACCAGAGTTTACAGTCGGTGAATGCAGAGAAGAAAAGAAGATGACCAGTAGTGTAATTCCTATGTGGTCACCATTGTGTTAAAATCATCTAATAATAGTATAGTTTACCAGCAGTATAATTCCTATATGGTCACCATTGTGAAAAAATCATCTAATAATAGTATAGTTTACCAGCTATGAAATTTCTATATAGTCACCATAGTGATAAAATCATCTAATAATAGTATAGTTTACCAACAGTGTAATGCCTATATGGTCACCATTGTGGTAAAATCACCTAATAATAGTATAGTTTACCAGCAGTGTAATGCCTATATGGTCACCATTGTGGTAAAATCACCTAATAATAGTATAGTTTACCAGCAGTGTAATGCCTATATGGTCACCATTGTTTTAAAATCACTTAATAATAGTATAATTATTGTATTGACTTGTTACAGGTTGACATCTACCCATTTTTTTCTATGTGATCAACAGGTTTGCGATGGGCAATAGTCAGCAGTATGTTTTTTGTGGCTGCTGGAACAGCCTTCCGTGTCATTACATCTTATCCCCCTACAGCAACAATGTAAGCCTTTCTTTACTGCACTGAATTGATACTGTTTCAAAGTCACTAGCTCTCAAGCGCTGGCTACAGAACCCATGATGTCATTGAAATAGCCTCATGACTAACACATTGTAATGTTTCCATGTGAGTTCTGGGGCTTCACTTTTGGAGTAAAAAGAAAATACCCACTGCTTCTAAACCCTTTCCCCCCTGAGCCCTTAAAAAAAATAGGTCATGATCCAGTTAAAATTCCAGAAAAAAGCCATAAAAACAAGTTTTTACACAGGTCAGTACAAAAAAAATATATATATTAATATGTATTTATGTAGATTAAAAATTAAAAAAAACAAAAATATGTAGGATATATGAAAGGAGTAATCAATAAACACAAACAGGGTGAAGCATTAAGTGGGAGCAACTGCCATGGCCTTTAAAAAAATGTACTGGGAGAATTACGCTCGGTGACCTCTGTTATTAAGAATGTTGAATTATGAATCTACATCATAGCACTTGGGACACTCCCATAAGCACTCGGGACACTCCCATAAGCACTCCCTTCCCATCTTCAGCAGCGAGCAAAGAGTTCCAATTCTGATGGCACCAGTAACTGTCTGATCCATCTCGCCCTTCCTTTGAGTGTTGAGCGCCTGCCAGATCCCCTGGTAACTCCTCGCAGCGCAATTCTCCTGAGACCCTAATGATCCACCTGTGCCTCTGCACTGTTCACTCACTTCCAAAGGGTCCTCACAGTGTCTAGATTGTCACACATCAGTTCACCACCAAGTGGTGCAGAGCCAGCCAGTCTATCTGACTGCTCATTTCCCAACACACTGACATAACCTGGAGAAAATATCCAAAGGATGCTAACTACCCGGGACCTCTGAATTGATGCTTGCCACTCTGCACAGAGCATGCCTGTCTCCACCTCTCTCAACATGCTTTGTGAGTCAGTAACAATCACGGCATGTGTGTACAGCTGATTCCCAAGCCAGCTGAAGGCAGCAGTGGCTGCCTCTACCTCCATTCTCGAACTAGACATTGTGATAACATATGCCAGGCTTTGCTGCACCAAGCGACGTTCATTCGCCTTCACTATGAATCCCCATGCACTTCATCTGCCCCTTAACACAGAGCCATCTGTATAGACATCACCTGGGCAGGAATTGTCATGAATCATTTGTTGAACTTCTGATTCTGCAGTACAATCTGGCCAGTCCCTGCTGAGACTGTTACTGTGATTTACAAGAAAATCTGACATCAACTTGACTTTGAAAAAATAAAAAAATAAAAATAACATTTAGCGTGGTTTTTCTTTGAATACAAATTTATATATATATATATATAAAAAAGAAGCTATTTTGCTATAAGGAAACCATCCTAAATGCTGTTGTTAGTTAAGGTATTCATATCCTGACTTCACTCGATAGGAGACTCGCTTTCAAATCTAGCTGGAACTCGCTGCAGCCCACGGCCGGTGTTTGAAATCTGGTGGTTCCTGGGGTTCACCTAGCCTCTAGTTAATGGGCACCACAGTTAAAACTCTGGGGTAAATGGAGGAACGTTGCTATAGCTACGGAGTTGCATGCGGGCAGCGACACAGGCAGACAGTTTCTTATGGTTTATAATCATGTGCAATGACGCTGGTTCACATCTCTCGACTTTAACCTTTACCTTTATCCTGACTGACTGCCTAAATGTGTTTGCTTTTGCAAACTCAGCCAACGGCATTAGCAGTTTATCGGTTCACAAACACATCCTGCGTCTATTTGTTCACAAGCAAATCCTACATTTATTTGTTCACAAACACACCCTGCATTTATTTTTGTTCAGAGACACATCCAGCATTTGTTGTGTTTACAAATACATCCTGCATTTATTTGTTTACAGACTCATCCTGCATTTGTTTTGTTCACAAACACATCCTGCATTTATTTTTGTTCACAAACACATCCAGCATTTATTGTGTTTACAAATACATCCTGCATTTATTTTGTTCGCAAACATAACTGCATTTATTTGTTCACAAACTCATCCTGCATTTATTTGTTCACAGACTCATCCTGCATTTATTTGTTCACAGACTCATCCTGCATTTATTTGTTCACAAACACATCCTGCATTTATTTGTTCACAAACACATCCTCCATTCATTTTTGTTCACAAACACTTCTTGCATTTATTTGTTCACAAACTCATCCTGCATTTATTTTTGTTCACAAACACATCCTCCATTTATTTTTGTTCACAAACACATCCTCCAGTATTTATTGTGTTTACAAATAAATCCTGGATTTATTTTGTTTGCAAACACATCCTGCATTTATTTGTTCACAAATTCATCCTGCATTTACTAGTTCAAAGACTTATCCTGCTTTTATTGTGTTCACAAACTCATCTTGCATTTATTTGTTTACAGACTCATCCTGCATTTACTTGTTCACAGACACATCCTGCATTTATTTGTTCACAGACATATCTTGCATTTATTTGTTCACATACACATCATGCATTTATTTGTTCACATACACATCATGCATTTATTTGTTCACAAACACATCCTCTATTTATTTGTTCACAGACACATCCTGAATTTATTTGTTCACAGACTCATCCTGCATTTATTTGTTCACAGACTCATCCACATTGGTCAGTTCCTGAATGGTGTTGGAGGCCCTATATCCACAGGCTCCATCCCAGCCATCTCTGCTGCATGGTTCCCTCCACATGAGAGAGTCACGGCCACTGCCCTCAGTAACAGCATCAACAATTTTGGCCAGGCAGTCACTTTTATTCTGGGTTTGTTCTTTGACTGTCCAGCAGATTTAGTGTTGTTGTTCAGGCAGTCACTTTTATTCTGGGTTTGTTCTTTGACACCAAAAACTCATTAGTTTCTCTGTTTGTTCTTTGTTAGTGTCAGCTGGTGTATGTTTCTTCTTTGTCACTGTCAGCAGATATGTGTTTGTTCTTTGATACTGCCAGCAGATATGTGTTTGTTCTTTGATACTGCCAGCAGATATGTGTTTGTTCTTTGATACTGTCAGCAGATATGTGTTTGCTCTTTAATACTGTCAACTGATTTGTGTTTTTTCTTTGTTAGCGTCAGCTGGCTTATTCCGGATATGTTCACGGTTGTCGTGATGTTGAAATTAGGTTACTCAATGGGCGCCGTTTTATTCATAAACCTTGCACTGCTCTGGGGCATAGAGGTGTGAGCTTAGTCTAGTTTATTTCAGGGACACCACCTGCGATGTGCGCAATGTTGCATGTCACACGGTGGTCATTACGCCGTTCTTTGAATTGTCTTGATATGTTGTCAGTGCTGATAAGCAGAGAAGCATCAAACTCCTGCAGGAGCACAGCATCTTGCTGCCTTCATCGTGACGCTGTTCTAAGAATAATCTCATGGTCCTGACTCCGAGCAATGATCGTGAGGATTATGGAGATGCTGTTATTTCCCAGGTTGTCGTGCGGAAGAAAGAAACAAGGGGTAGCACGGCACAGATAGATGTCTTCTAGAGTCGTGCCTGTGTGAGTTCATGTGGTAGAGGCACACTAAGTGGGCTGGCCTCTTCCCGTTCACTGCTATACTAGCCAACATTGCTCTGTTCTGGCCGCCACCGCAGTAGCAATCATTCCCTGCTCGTCCAGATGCCTACTAACACAGAAAAAGCAGGGGGGAAAAAACCCCGCTTGTTTGCATGCAACTAGTAGCTCCGCTGCATGCCATCTACAGAATAAACTGACACAGCGAAAGTGAAGGCTTGTCAACTTTTGTCTACCACAGAAACTCTAAAAGGTACCACTGCTCACTGTCGGTCCTTATTAGGACCGCCGCTAACAGCCGGCTCTAAACAATACAGCTAAGGTGCTTTTTAGCGCCACCCAGAACCAAAAAGAAAAGAGCGCTTAACGGTTGTACGCTCTAGACCCGGGGGTGGGAAGGGTGAAAGAGGGAGGTGGCGGTAAATGGCCGCACGCAGCCAGCCAGGTGACCTTTCAGTTTGTTGAGTCCCAGTTCGCTCAACACAGACAGATGTCCCGCCAAATAGACTCGGACACCGATGTGACTCAGAAGAGTTGAAGAAGCTATAAATGAAAGGTCAACGTCACGACAATCGTAAATAGATCCCTTGTTCCTTGTTACTGTTAGCTGATTTGTGTGTTTTCTTTAATGCTGTCAACTGATCTATGTTTGTTCTTTGATATTGTTCTTTATTACTTTACTGTCAGTTAATATATTTCGTTGTTTATTATTTGATACTGTCAGCAGATTTGTGTTTTTTTCTTTAACAAGTCAGCTGATTTGTTCCCGTGTTTGTGGTACAATTTATCCTTTGATTAAATTAGTTTATTTGTCTGTTTTGAGGGTTTCTATCTGATGATACTATCAGCTGATTTGTTTCTGTCTGTTGATAGTGTCAGCTGTTTTTTTTTTTCTTCTGTTGATGCCGTCAGCTGATTTGCTTGTCTGTTGATACTGTCAGCTATTTTGTTTCTGTCTGTTGATACTGTCAGCTATTTTGTTTCTGTCTGTTGATGCTGTCAGCTATTTTGTTTCTGTCTGTTGATACTGTCAGCTATTTTGTTTCTGTCTGTTGATACTGTCAGCTATTTTGTTTCTGTCTGTTGATACTGTCAGCTATTTTGTTTCTGTCTGTTGATACTGTCAGCTATTTTGTTTCTGTCTGTTGATACTGTCAGCTATTTTGTTTCTGTCTGTTGATACTGTCAGCTATTTTGTTTCTGTCTGTTGATACTGTCAGCTATTTTGTTTCTGTCTGTTGATGCCGTCAGCTGATTTGCTTGTCTGTTGATACTGTCAGCTATTTTGTTTCTGTCTGTTGATGCCGTCAGCTGATTTGCTTGTCTGTTGATACTGTCAGCTATTTTGTTTCTGTCTGTTGATGCCGTCAGCTGATTTGCTTGTCTGTTGATACTGTCAGCTATTTTGTTTCTGTCTGTTGATGCTGTCAGCTGATATGTTTCTTTTACTTGTCCTTGTGTTCTGGATCAGGTGTATTGAATATTCCTCCACATCCCTATCTTAGACCATCTAGCATCCTTCTTTGTCACTCATAATTTGACCCTTTCGGACAGTCGCGATTGTTACCTTCATAGGCAGCCTATGGTATTTGCACTATTCAACTCAGTGAAGGTACAATAAAACACAATCTGTAACACAAAGGAGAGCTAGTCAGCTTAAAAAATCGGTCGCAAATGACGCCCCCAAAAATAAATGAACATGTCCACTTTTGGGCCTTCATTAACTTACAACACGAATAGGGAAAACAGTGGTTACAGTATTGAAAACTACACACAAAAAAAAACAGTCTAAGGGGACTTAGGTGTGTAAGGGCCAAAGTTTATTCATGGTCAAAGTATTCATCACACTGGACAGTAAAGGTTTACTGACATGCACCATCACTGGACACAGAAAACTTGTTAACCTTTTTGTTCCTGAAACACTAACAAAAAAATAGTAATGACCCCATTAAAATTCCAGGAAAATAAAACAAACATTGTCTACAGGTCACCAAGAGGTCATTAACAATCTCTTGATCTACATTTGGTAAAAATATGTGTATATATGTATTATAGGTGTAAGTATATGAAAGGAGTAATCATTAAACATGAGCAGGATGAAGCATTAAATAGAAAACATACCCTGTGGTGTAAAATTTAAAAACATGTATCAGATGACTCATTTCATGACCCTGTGACCTTTATCACTGAGGTTTATGGGAAACTCTGACCTCAGCTTGGTTTTGTAAAAGCTATTTAGCTCAAAGGAAATTCATCCTAAGTGCCGTTGTTAGTTTCTTTTTCTTTACTTTCACCGGCTGTAGACTCCAGCAGAAAGTTCTGGTTATTCATCCACTTCTGGATTTAAATCATGTTCCAGAACTTGAGTTTTGTGTGCACATCTGTTTTACAGATTTGATTTATTTTTGCACAGATTTTTGGTTCCTTGCTTCTCAGGAAGATGCACTCTGAGTTAGAAGGAAGTTCCTAGTTAGTAAACTCTTAAGCAGTGGATCTATTTTTTGTTTTTTGTTGTTGTTGCTTTTTCTTCGGCCCTCCACAAAGGGGCCCCGTAACTCACACATGCAGCCATTGTTAGCAAATGTATTCTTGTCCTCACCTCCTAAACATATGTGCCGGTGCAGAAAACAGCCAGTAGCATTAATTATGCATCTCGTAAACAGGTCACTATAGGTGTCAGAAAAGTGACATTTAAGGCGAATTGGACCCAGCAAGAAGTGTTGGTTTTCACGTTTCTCAGGGCAGAAGGTTTACTCTTGGTCAAATACCCATCACACTAACCTGCACCATCACCGGACACACTCTTGTTGGAGATAGACACCAGACAGTGTAAGGGACTCTACAGATTATTAAATGAAGCAAGATTAAAGCAGTAGCATTTTTAATAACTTGTTTAAAAAATATTTTTTTATTTAAAAATCTAGGCCCAGCACTTGTGTCCACGACTCCTGGAAACTCATCAACATCAAATTTAACTTCACGTATACTCTTGCTGTAAGTCTGCATTTAATGTTGTTCAATGTTTGTAACAGCTAATTTCATACACTTCATACATTTAGACATTAACTAGAATTAATTGCACGGCTTCGCCCGGGATAGCGAAAGAAAGTCTTATTCTCCTGTCCTCTACCTCAGCTTGGTTTCCTATATGTAAGCCTTGTGTAAATAGGAGTCTGACTAAATCCCTATATTTAAAATTCTGTCTTCTACTTCATCTTTGTCTCCACTGCCGCCGTATCTATAATCATTGACTCTTAGTGCACATGAGGCATCCACTGAAAAACTAACGTCCAATATTTACAAGTTTGGGAGACATACAAAAGTATTGTCTCTGACACATATAGATATGTGGTTTTAAGAAGGATAACAGTGAAATATGATTTTAAAAACTTACCTTTACAAAGGAGGGACTAGGATAAATATTATAAGGCATATAACTCCAGCAAAAGCTTACTTGTACTAATTGTTGCAATAAATGAAAGAAATGTACAATAACCTAGGCCACAAATGTGACTGTTAAATTAGATACTGCAGTCATAGTGGCAAATGAAAATGTAACCTGTGAATTGGTCACAGTTTGGGAGAAGTTAACACTTAATTTATAATAAACACACCAAATACAGAAAACGATTGTCATTTATAGCGTGTATATTATAGAATATTTATTGTTGTCCAGTATTTTTGACAATTAATTTCACATGCAATTGAAACAGTTATACATTTATTTCAGAGATCAGAACACAATTATTGTTTTCCGGTATTTATGAGCAGTGAATTCCATACACTGTTTTTACAGTTGTAAATTTTTATTCTAGATCATAATTGTTGTCCAATATTTATCACATTTGTTAATATATGTTTATATAGATTAAATATTCTACTGTGTTTGTAACAGTATATGTAAGCGTACACTTTAATTTGTGTGACTTTTTACTGTGGTTGTTAGTGTATGTGAATGTAGATTTAAATAGTTTACAGTGTTTGTTACAGTTGTTAGTATATATAAGTGTACTCTTTTATGTGTGACTTATTTATTGTGGTTGTTAGTGTATGTAAATATACCCATATTGGTTTAGCTATTTTGTTTCATTTGTTATTGTTTGTTAGGGTTAAGATAATGTTTAACCTACTTGTTATAGTTGTTAATATTAAAACTGTGTTATTATGAGCCCGCTTATGAAAACACTGGCTTAACCAGAACAGAAGCTTGATCTCATCAGTGATATATTATTATTAGTAATCCCTGGTTAGCTCAGATTATTTTAACACGTCGATTGTGAGAGTGAGTCGATTTTTGTGTGCTTTGGAATTCATGATACAGCCATGAGACTGCCATTACTGCCTATAATTACCACTTTTGAAGTGAAAGCAAGAGGCTGCCCTAGAAGAAGATGGATTGATGACATTAAAGAGCTTCTACATCGACACAAAATGACAGTAGCCATTGCTGCACATCAGGCAATGGAGTGCAAACTGTTCCTCCCCACAACGCTTAGCGGCAGAAGTGGAAACATGATGATGATGAATTACCACTTTTGCTGTGTGGTGGTGGGGTGATGGAGGGGGGGGGGAGGCGGTCTTTATGGCTGAGGATTTAAGGCCACGCGACTAGTGCTGTGGCTATGGACTGCAGGTTATGATTTTATTTAACTGCTGACAACAACAACAAAATACCCGCCCTTACCCAGGATTTGAAATCTGCTCTCCCAAATCAGAGCTTATCAGTTTGGCCAGCCACTCCTTGGAATTCATTTTAACGAGGTTTTAGTGTACATCTTTATTGCTGCAAACTTATAACTATTAGTCTCTCTCTTTCTCTCTCTCTCTCTCTCTCTCTCTCTCTCTCTATATATATATATATATATATATATATATATATATATATATATATATATATATATATATATATATATATATATATATATATATATATATTATGTATAAATATGTATATATAAATATATATATGTGTATGTGTGTCCACATAGTATTGTACATGTTTGTTGCTGTTCATTATGTAGGAGTAGCTGGCCAAACGGAGCAGTAGTCTGTCATGCGGGAGAACCAGGTTCGAGTCCTTGGTTAGGTCATCACGTAGTCCATGCCGACAGCACTGGCCTTGCGGAAGTAAATTCTCAGGTTCAAAGTCCTCCCTCCCCTTTCTGCTACACCATACAAATGGTGAACACAGTTATTAGCAGTTTAGATTTAAAAAAAACAAAAAAAGCACCCATTCTTAATTTGTGCTTTTATAGCCAGTTGTTACATGCAACTTGTGTAATTTCAGAGGTAAACTGTATCAAGAACAAGCAGCAGGTGATCCAGACAATGCAACAGGTATTATAGAACTGAAGTTACATAAAATGTGTTGTTATCACTCCGCAATGACATTTGTTAGAAAAGAAAGTGAATTTGGAATAAATTGACATCTGATTCAGTAAAGCAGGCCAATTATTGGGACAGCTAAATCCCCTCTTACAGCATAAGGCAATCCCAGTCAGCACAAAGAAATATCTCATACAAATCATATTCATTCCCACCCTGTGCTGCCATTGCTAGATGTGGTCACTCACAACATAACATAAAAGAAAATTAGTAACCATGGAAATGAGGTGTCTGAGAAGGGCTGTAGGAGTGACCAGAATAGATAAAATCAGGAATTAGGTCATACGAGATAAAGTCGGCACAAAACCATTTCTAAATTACATACAATGACAGGCAAATAAAATGGTTTGCCCACTTGGAGAGAATGCCTTTTGATGCTGTACCATACAAGGCATATACCAAAAGAGAAGAGGGATGTAAAGCAAGAGGTAGACCAAGAACAATATGGGAAGATAACATTAGAGAAACTCTGCAGCACCACAACGTGTCTAAGGTCGATGCTGCCAGAAGAAAAGGAAGCAGGACCTTATATCACCCTTGACACCCAAGCGGTAAAAAACGTAAAAAAGAAGAAATTTTAATTTGGTCCTCAACCGACTAAGAAAACAATCTGAGACTGGCTACGGGAAGAAGAAATCCTATTGAAGATGCCACGGAGGAGGGGTCATGAGAGGCAAATATGCTGAATGGTCTGATCTGGAATTTAGGATGAGGCAGTATAGAAAGACAATAATTCGTCATCAGACACAGAGAAGGATAAGCTAAAAATGATTGTCATATGGATGAGAGTTTTGACAGTGATGAGGAGTTTCCTGGATTCTATGTCTTTATAACATTGTAAATCAAAATACTAAATCAGTGGGGATGAGTGGAGGTTCTGCATAGATATTCAGCATTGAAGAGGAAGCATAGGCAGACTGAAATGAATACCATCACAATATGTAAGATAAAAATCAAAACCACACATGTATGTAGTTATCATCACACAATGTTTATAGAAATCAAAACCACACACGTGTATAGTTACCATCACACAATGTAAGATAAAAATCAAAACCACACACGTGTAGTAACCATCACACCATGTAAGATAAAAATCAAAACCACACATGTGTAGTAACCATCACACAATGTAAGATAAAAATCAAAACCACACATGTATGTAGTTATCATCACACAATGTATATAGAAATCAAAACCATACATGTATGTAGTTACCATCACACCATGTAAGATAACAATCAAAACCACACATGTATGTAGTTACCATCACACAATGTAAGATAACAATCAAAACCACACATGTATGTAGTTACCATCACACAATGTAAGATAACAATCAAAACCACACATGTATGTAGTTACCATCACACAATGTAAGATAAAAATCAAAACCACACATGTATGTAGTTACCATCACACAATGTAAGATAACAATCAAAACCACACATGTATGTAGTTACCATCACACAATGTAAGATAAAAATCAAAACCACACATGTATGTAGTTACCATCACACAATGTAAGATAACATCAAAACACACATGTATGTAGTTACCATCACACAATGTAAGATAAAAATCAAAACCACACATGTATGTAGTTACCATCACACCATGTAAGATAACAATCAAAACCACACATGTATGTAGTTACCATCACACCATGTAAGATAACAATCAAAACCACACATGTATGTAGTTACCGTCACACAATGTAAGATAAAAATCAAAACCACACATGTATGTAGTTACCATCACACAATGTAAGTTAAAAATCAAAACCACACATGTATGTAGTTACCATCACACCATGTAAGATAACAATCAAAACCACACATGTATGTAGTTACCATCACACCATGTAAGATAACAATCAAAACCACACATGTATGTAGTTACCATCACACAATGTAAGTTAAAAATCAAAACCACACACGTGTGTAGTTTCAATCACACAGTATGAGAGATAAAAATGAAAACCACACATGTGTGTGGTTATCATCACACAATGTAAGAGATAAAAAGGAAAACTGCACATGTATGTAATTATCATCACACAATGTAAGATAAAAATCAAAACCACACATGTGTGTAGTTATCATCACACAATGTAAGATAAAAATCAAAACCACACATGTGTGTAGTTATCATCACACAATGTAAGAGAAAAATCAAAACCACACATGTGTGTAATTACCATCACACAGTATGAGAGAGAAAAATAAAAACTGCTCATGTATGTAGTTACAATGTAAGAGATAACAATTAAAACCACACAAGTATTGTGTGGTTACCATCACACAGTGTAAGAGATAAAACTGAAAACCACACAAGTGTTGTGTAGTTACCATCACACAGTGTAAGAGATAACAATCAAAACCACACAAGTGTTGTGTAGTTACCATCACACAGTGTAAGAGATAACAATCAAAACCACACAAGTGTTGTGTAGTTACCATCACACAGTGTAAGAGATAACAATCAAAACCACACAAGTGTTGTGTAGTTACCATCACACAGTGTAAGAGATAACAATCAAAACCACACAAGTGTTGGATGGTTACCATCACACAGTGTAAGAGATAAAAATCAAAACCAGTCTGTGAAATGAACTCATAGCCTTCAGACCATAATGTTAATGGCATAACCATTTTTTAAAGCAGCATCCCAAGCTCTTTGCTGCAGATTTATCTCCCCCAGTTCATCTTGTGTGACATTCATGGCTTAGGGGTTGCGAGTCCGACTCATAATTCCAACGCACGGCTGTTGAAACCCACTGCTGGCTGCGTGGATTTGTATCATGGTATGGAACTTCACAGGTCGATCCAGCCTAAAATGGGTATCGGATGGCTGTCCTGGGGAAGTAAAGATGGGCGGCGTAATGCTGACTACATAACCCACCTAGTGCCGATGGTCTGTAAAACTATGGGCCTCCTTCCCATATACCCGATGCGCCTAAAGACGTGGAAAAGGACCCCCCCCCCCTTTTTTTTTTAAAAAAATACTTGTTCATCTGGTGACTGACCTTCTCTTACAGCTTGGTTACTGGTGTTTGTAGGTCTACCTGCGGATTATCTCTCTACCATCTTCTTTGACTGCCTCATGATCTACAGTCGGCTCTTTTGTGTATGCTGTTTTGCCTCTATAATCTTTGAAGTCTGTTAGTCCTCATGATGGCTGTAATTACTTATTTACAAACTTAGTCGATCCTCTTCTACCCTGGATGATCTATCTACTTCTTTCTATGAGCGCCGATCAATACACTTTCTGTTAATTGATTAATTCATAATACCCTGGATGTAGAGGTTTGCCAGAGAGATCACTTGACTTCTCTATCAGCAGTTTTCTTTTTGGCTTTGTTCCATTCAAGTCCTCCCGCAGGGACTGTTGGATATTGTCTTTCCAGCGAACCTTGGGTTGACCTGGTGGTCTAGTTCTTGACCTCCTCTGCCTGCTGTGGTGGCCAGTTCTCTTCCAAACCTCCTAACTCTGACTGTTCCACTCGAGTTTCTAAGACCTGAGTTTCAACATCATGACATATTTTCTGATTGCAAACTTTTCCCCTTTTTGTCACTAAGACAACCTTTTTCAGATACTTTATTTCAGAGGCCTGAAACTGGCTTCTGTGAGCTGTTGCCATTGTCTACGACTCATGCTAAATTGTAAGAAATTATGGCAGTTAAGGTTAGTTGCGTATCCTTTACAGGACGTTGCAGAATCAACCACAACAGCCCCTGGCTGTTGTGTGGGTTTTCTAGGCAAATTTACGTCCAGTAGTTTGCCATTGCTTTCTGGACGGTCGGCTTTCTTTTTACCACTGTTGAAACCAAGGCAAAGCACTTGACCCGCAGCTGGGATCGAACCCGGCATTACGAAGCGTTCGCATCGACAGAGCCGACAGTGATGGCAGTAATTAGTGGTTTAAGTTAGATTTAAGCAGATAAGGAATTTCACACCCAGACTTTCAATGTGAAAAGATAATGCAATCTAAATAATCCCTTCCCTGTCTTGTCCCCAGTTGCCCGACAGCTGCAAGAGAGGCATGAGATCATGCTGTACATGTATTATGGTATGTATATCTTAGACCACTTTGCTTTGTTTTTGAAAGTGGGATTGAGAGCTGGCCAGCAAGGAGATCAAAATAACAATTTTGAGAGCATGCATCTTCCTTGCGGCTACATATGGATGTGAGTCGTGGACTGTCTCTCAGTCCTTAAGAATGAGAATAGGAGCTTTTGAGCTGAAATGCTATAGAAAGATTCTCAGAATATCTTGGACAAAGAAGAAGATAAATATGGACATCTTGAAAGATCTGAACATCAAGGAAGATTGGCTAATAAACAGCACCCTTTCTCGAAAGCTGAAATATTTTGGTCATATCAAGCGGCGCGACGGATTGGAACAAATTATAACAGAAGGCATGGCACCAGGAAGGAGGGGCAGGGGCCTAACCGACATGAAGATGGGCACAGGATATAAGTGACTCCTTGGGTGTGAAAGTACATGAGGTGGGAGAACTGGCAAGAGACCGAGTTTCCTTCAGGCAGACTGTGATGAGAGCGACGTTCTGCAAAGGACCTGCCACATGATGATGATTGAGAGCTGATCGCTCAGTATGCAGTGAGAAACTGCTGAACATAAAATTTCCCTAAAAAAATCACAAACAGCCAACAAATTATGGGATTGGTTCTGCAATGCTTACGAAATCGATACGTTACTTAACTTATTATATGTTACAACACACGTCTGTTTTCACATCCTCAAACATGGGCATCCACCATGTCTCTGGTAATCTGGGGTTCGATCCTCATGTCTCTTAGATTCACATACACCAGCTTACATTAAAAAATGGTTGACTTTGATTTTTGTCATCATCATTATGTGCTTGTTGTTCTTCTGGCTTTTATTCTTCCAATGGACTGACCCTTAACCAACTCGCATCAAGCCATTCTATCCTTTACTATTCCATGCAGCTCTCCCCATGTCCTCCCCATCTTTTTAACTTCACTCTCTTTACTCCCTTCTCTATGTATTTTTTTTTTTGGTTTGCTGTTATTTATATGTACCTGTGGGTTCCACTACAAAGACTTTCTAGTTATATTATTCTCAGGTTTTCTTAACATATATCCTATCCAATGTCAGCATCTTTTCTTCACCTCTTGCTTCCCCTGGAATTTGTTTACTTCTCTCCTAAACCTCAACATTGGTGATTCTAGCATCCATTCCCTTCATTCTGCACAGGTACCAGTTAATGAATGTTTCTAGTCTACATGCATAAGTGTTTTCACATTTCATAGAAGTGAAAAGAGGTGAGGCAAGACAAGATCACTGTGAAGGAAGCTAATGAAGAATAATAAACCAACACAGAATTGCTGTTATCGGCCACTTCATGCTTTACTGAGGAGGGGATCAGAGTGCTTATGGAATAATTGGTTTGTGCGGTGAGAATGATCTGTTAGCTAACTAGTTTCTCAGACTCATTAGTACCCCAATGTCTTTGGCAACTTGGAATTTGATCTGGTGTCTTATTGACTCGATTACTCCAGCCTACATCATTTATAAGGGGTAAACCCTGCTGTTAATCGTCATCATTTACCTTGCCAGATGGTATAGGTGTTCACACCTCTCCACAGATATCGACTCTGGGAGCTCTACATCAGTTCTGTTGCAGATGTTTTATTTCTTCAAGGTATTTGCAGCTTCTTCTTCTTCTTGGAATCTCTACCATTTTTGGACTCCATTCTGTTTAAGTTCACAAACACTTAGGAAGCAGTGTTGTGGTTTTTCTTACCTTCCATACCCAGCTGAGAGAGAGTGCTTTATCTCTGTTTTTAAAAAAAAATGAAAATAACCCACTGACAATCTGTACTAGGAAATTTGTGGAAATGAAAGGACATTGAAAACTGATGCAAAACTTACAATATTTAACTCTTTGTCAAATCAGTACTGCTATGTACAAGGCTCAAGGCTAAAATAATTACTTATAAATTTCTGCAAACGATAATGAATTGGCGTGAATGCCCAGAATAGAAGGAAGTAAGCTGCATTTTCCCTTGTTGGTTTCAGGGCCCCGTTTTGGGGGAACAAAAGAACACACCCACTGCAAACAGTCAGCATGAAAGCCAGTATGGTACCCTCAGAAGCACACCTATTCTGAATATAATCGGCCACCACCATTTTAGTGCAGTCAACAATATGCCATAGGGTCAGTATAGAAAACAATCCAAACAAAATCCACATCTCACAGTGTCATACCACCAGGCACCCGTTCAGTAGCTGGGCGATGGAACCTTCGGGCTCCCCGACCTAGAAACAGGTAATTTGCATCAGCAAAATCTAACTGGAAACAAGTAACAGAGCATCAGTGTTCAGCCAGCTGTTAGATACTCATAAGGTTAAACAGTTTTTATTGATATGAAAATAAAATGTACCACATCACATGTAATGAACATGGAGGCCTGGAAAGGCGTCATCATTGCAGTAAAAAAATTTTTTTTAAATATGTTTGAGTTCTTGTTTGTGATATACCCTCAAATGTTTTTTTCTTCTTTTGTTTTGCAGCATGTGGAGCTTGTGTGTTGTTGTTTGTGTTGATGCTGCTGTATTTTCCTGCCAAACCACCCCACCCTCCATGTGTCTCAGCAACGGTCGAGCGCACCAAGTATTGGGAAGGACTCTGGTTTTTGAGAAAGTAAGTGAGAAACCTTGTTTGTTTAATTTGTTTCTTCTTTAAGTATCTTTTTTTTTTTTATAAATCTTCATCTTTTGCTTTACTGCTTATGCTGCAAAGTGTCAGAGAGAGGAATTGGATGTAGTTTCCTTTCCTTTTGCTAGTTGTTTAGCTTGTGTTAATGTCATATTGCGTTTCTATAGTGTCTCTTTACTACCTCCAACCATCTCTTTTTTGTTTGGCCTCTCCTCTTGTAGCCTGCTGTTCTCACATGGTACACTCTGGCTGCTGGCTTATTTTGTTTCATTCTGACAAGATGACCAAATCATTTGATTCTTCGATGTTCTATGAAATCATTCACCAGTACATTATTCTTAGTTCTTCATTAGTGACTTTGTCTCTTCTTGTTAATCCCACTGCATTTCTTATACATCTCATTTCACATGTCAACTTTGTGTTTTTTGAGAACAAACCATGTCTAGCATTTATATTGCAAAGTTGGTGCAAACAGTGCATTTATCATCTTCTGTTTTGTGTACATTTTGATGCCTCCAAAGTGGTGCTGTTTAGTAATTTATCTTGTTGGCTTTATAAACACCTTTTTTCCTTCTTCTTCTTTCGTTTGCCTGAAATAAGTTGCCTGTATCAGCAATTTTGTCTCTCGTATAGATTTTACTGTCGTTGTTAGTTCATTCAGTGGTCCATGGTGTTTAGGTTCCACTGTTGTTCTTTCTGGCCAAAAGATTTGCCTTAATGGGTCAAATTCGGTTCAGTCCTAGAGTACATGCTCTGCTGTCTAGGGCACCTTTCCACAGGTGAACATCCTGATACACCTATCTTTAATTTTGTGTATATGTTGTTACGCTATTGGTTATATATTCTATTTTCTGTTTTTCTGTCCAATCCTCCATCTTCTGTGTATACACTGCCTAGGTACTTTGACACCTTTTTTTTAAAAATTATAAATTGTTTGCATGAAAGGCAACAAGAGAAAGGCTGCCCTTGCAAGTATCACCAGCCTAGGTAGAGGACTTCTATGAACACAATATACATAATTAATGCTATGCGAGAGGCAATGTGCTTGAAGATCTAAAACATAAGGATACTTCTTCTTTTTCGCAATCAACAACTGTAAACTCTGGCTAAAAGTTCCATTTGTTTGTCCACATCTGGACTTTAGTCTTGGGCTCTCCTTTCAACTTCGGCCAGTAGACAAACATCGACGGCCGGTTAGTTGGAGTTATGTCCCCTTGCCACAGTGCAATTACGGACTGGAATAAAAAAAACACAGTGAGGTCGACATGCAGACCCTGCGCTGCCACTCAAATTAGCGACCGCGTTCAATTACCACTTCTTCCGACGCATTACGGAGTGGACTAGAGGGAACGAAACAAGTGACATAGTTACTGTGTGTCGGCGATAGACAGCGTGCAGTGCCTTAGGGTTAGGGGTAGGGGTAGGTTTGGGTTTAGGGTTAGGGTTAGGGTTTGGGTTGCTACTATGAGTTTGTGCGAAGACGAGATGCAGCGACACTAACCTTAACCCTAACCCACACCCTAAACCTAACCCTACCGCTAAACCAAAGCCTAAACCTAACCCTAACCCTACCCCTAAACCAAACCGTAACCGTATGCTGTCTATCGGCAACACACAGTAATTATGTCATTTGTTTTGTTCCCTCCTTTCCAGTCCGTAATTGCACTGAAGCAAGGGGACATAACTCCGACTAACCGGCCGTCGATGTTTGTCTACCGGCCGAAGTTGAAAGGAGAGCCTAGTCTTGTTCCAGAACTTGAGTTCTGCATGCACCTCTATTTTACAGATGTGGCTTATTTGTATGCAGACTGTTGGTTCCTCGCCTCTTTGGCAGATGCACTCCAACGTCGAAGAAAACCCCCTTTTGTGACATGCTTTTTTGGGGGGGTGGGGGCAGTGGTTCTGTTCTTTTGTGCTTTTATTCTCCAAAAAAAATATTATTATACTTTTCGTCCTTCTTAGGATGTTATTTTTTGTTATTCGAAGCCCCACTCTGGCTTTTGCCAGGGGCCGCAATATAGGCAGGTCATCAATATGGCCAAATGTCTGAACGCGGTTTCTGGGACCTCTCCACGGTGATCCTCATCCATATGGTGGCACTTTGTGTCATCGGGTGTTTATCGCTTGTGTGATGTCCTGGTGGGGTAGAAAGTCAGTCAGTCAGTATTCTCCAAAAGCCCAGAGCCCACATTGGGAAACCTTAAGTTTACAGATTTATCTTTGATTCGAATACAAAGCCTAGATATACCAATCAGAGCAGCATGACATGAAAATGACACATGGGCTCAGGATCATGACATCAGCCAATACAGAATAGGAGTTGTTAGCATAAACACAGTTAAAAAAAAAAAAAAACTTGCTTTTATACAGTTTCAAATATCTGTTTGCAACCTGTAAAAAATAAAAATAAAAATTTTATTGACTTTTTTTATGGGAATTCCCATGAACTCATGACCGCCCCCCCCCCCTTCTCCCTTTTTTGTTTTTTGCAGCAGGGGTGAAAGGGTTCAAATAGGTATCTGATTCTGTTGACTGTGATATATCGGCATAGCACATAATGCTGACAATACCAACAGCTATTATAACACACCAACAGTAACATCATCATAATTAACTACATTACCACAATGGTGGCCAACAGTTTAGGATCACCCAGTAAATCTTCTTCTTGTCGTTCACCAGCTGTAAACTCTGGTGGAAAGTTCTGGTTGTTCATCCACTTCTGGACTGCAGTCTTGTTCCAGAACCTGAGTGTTGTGTGTGCATTCCTTTGACAGATCTGACACATTTGCGTGCAGATTGTTGGTTCCTTGACAGTCTTGTTTAAGAACCTGAGTGTTGCGTGTGCATTCCTTTGACAGATCTGACACATTTGTGTGCAGATTGTTGGTTCCTTGCCTCTCAATCAGATGCACTCTGACTTTGAAGGAAACTCCCAATTAGTCGACTCTTACGACATGCTTTTGGGTCTATGTGGGCAGTGGGTCTATTCTTGTTTTCCCTATAATAGGGCCTGGAACCCACATTGTGGACCCAGTAAATAATATTTCTAGTGCTTTGAATGCTGTTGTAGTGTCATTGATTTGCCCATATCCTTGTGAATATAACACCCATAAATAATACAATTGAAACAACCAAACAGCACTGAAAATAAAAAAACACCATGTTTTCACTGTATATGATATAAGACAGTTGATAGCATTTGGGCTGACCTAAATAGCAGCTGAGGCAGCACTTTGCAAAAGACCCTTTTCCACACCTTCTGTCATATGGGCGTATGGGGCTAGACCTATACTTTATTGACTAGTCAACACTTGGTGGTTGATGTGGCCAGCGTCATGCCGGCCGTCTTTACATCCCAGGACTACAATACTTTGTAATAGAGTTGAAATATCAGTAATAATTAGGTGATAATAATCTGTTTGTCACCTCTGTATATGTGTCTTCAGGAAGGTCTACTTTCTACTCATCACCTTGTCGTATGGCATTTCTACGGGAGTCATGGTTGCCTGGGGCAGCGTCATCAACATTAACTTGAAGACTGTTGGTGTGGATGAGGTGAGGCCTTGTCCGTTGTCTCTGTCTGTTGATTTGTTTTTCATTAGAGGATTGGCTACAGCTTATTTTATTGGACTGCACATATTGATAAATGGAGAAAAAAAAAGAACAGTAAATACCAGGGTTCTGAAGAGACTAGGAGTAAAAAAAAGAGTTTATGGAAGAACTAAAAAATGAAAAAAATTAAAAAAAAACTATTGGGGAGGGCGCAGTCTCTTATAAAACCCTTAAGGGAAAAAATACGAGGCAAAATCAAGGACTCTTTTTATGCCAGTGGTGATTCAGTCAAATGAATGAATGAATGAAAGAAACAAGAACTGGCATCACTGCACTCAGGACATTTCCACAAGTGCTCCGTCTCCTTCCTCAGTAGCCAACAGAGTCGACATGCTAATAGTATCAGTTGCAGCGTGATTAAAAGTTACCCATGTTTCTTCCTAAATGTTGAATGTTGAATTAAGAATCGACATCATTGCATTCGGGACACTCCCAGAAGCGCTCCAACCCTATCTTCAGCAGCAAACAAAGAGTTTCAATTTCGATTACACCAGTAACTCTCTGATAGTATATCCGTCCCGCCTTTCCTTTGAGTGTTGAGTGTCTGCCTGATCCCCTGGTAACTCCCCGACAACGCCATTCTCCTCAGACCATAATGATCTGTTTGCGCTTCCGCACAGTTCACTCGCTCCCTGAGGGCCTTTACAATATCTGTGTTTCTCCCTCAGTGTGTGGATTCACTGTCTGTTCTATTACACTGTCCATTTGATCCCACGGAGTGTTCACCATGTCCACTTTATCAAAAAGTCGCTCACCACTCAGAGGAATGGCAGCAGCTAACCTATGGGCCTGCTCATTTCCCTTTGAGTATAAGGCAACCTCCCCCCCACCCCCCCCCCCCCCCCCCCCCCCCCCCCCCCACAGATAACAAAATGTGATTTTTAAAAAAAGGAATGACATAAAAAAAAAATCCCAAAAACTTGGGGAGAAAAATACAGATATATCAGAAAAGAAACAGTCAATGCCATTTACTGCCTTTATGATACAACTTTTGCGGTGCAGGCGGGGGGGTCTTTGAGCCTGAGGATTTATGGCCGCATGGCTAGTGCTGTCGTCACAGACCATGCAGGTGAGAATTTTATTTTTGCCCCGACAGGACAAAAATCCCCAACCTTACAGAGGATTCGAATCCGGGTCTTGTGTATTAAAGTCCAGCATTCCAACCATTCGGCCAACTGCTCTTCGGAAACAATCACTAACAACTGGTAATTCAGGATCCAATTATTATTTGATGGGTCAAAACTATTTTGTCTAATGATATCTGCTATTTTTGGTTTCATGTTTGACATGGCACAGCAGATATCACTCTCAGCGTCAAGCTGGAAGTGCAGTTTTGTTTTCATGACTGTCAAAGCAGAAAATCCTGATTATTACAGGTACAGACTAACTCAGTTTCAGCATTACTTGACGTCCCCTTGAAGCTTCCTCATGCACCCCAGGGTGAGAACCACTGTTGTAGTTGCTTGGCTCTCTTTCACCTTCACTAGGTGCCAAGCCTTCTTACACGGCAGAACCAGTTGAATGAAAATGTTTCTTTACTTGACTTACGCTATGTTCTAAGAGGAATGTGTTAAGATAAATAGAATGTTTAATATATGTGAATCTTTTACATTTCAGGAGACAGCAGGAATGATTGGTTTCTATTCTACATTAGCCGGCTGTGCTGCTTCATTACTTGTTGGGAGGTAGTAGCATTTCTGTATTTTTATGAAATTGCTTCATTAGACAGGAATGGATTCTCTCATAAAACGCATCACTAAAAATAACCTTTATCCTTATGCCAGACTATTCAGGTGTTCAAGGCAATGTGCCTGCAGATTATCTGGTTGACAAAGCGGTTACCACGACTGGTCCGAAACTGGGCAGAAGTGATGTCATTATTATTAATGACATTTGAGCTGCATATCGCAACAACAAGCAGTATTCTTGTCCAGGCTGGTGGATATGGGATGCTAACTCTAGTAGCCTGATATGAGATGCAAACTGTAGTAGCCTGATATGAGATGCAAACTGTAGTAGCCTGATATGAGATGCAAACTGTAGTAGCCTGATATGAGATGCAAACTGTAGTAGCCTGATATGAACATTTTATCAAAGGCAAAAGGGTGTCTGGTTAATCAACACAGAACGGGCGTGATCACTCCTTTTACTCTTCTGGAACTACTGAGGCGGTGGCCTATGGATCTGTCTAGAGTGATCTGATGAATAGTCCTCACTAATCACTAATGTAATAATTCTCTGGAGTGCATTTAAAAAGAGTAGCGGCTGGCCGAGCGGTGAGTATGCTGGACAGTCAAGTGGAACATCCGGGTTCGAACTCTCAGTAAGGTTAAGGATTTATTCTGTTGGGGGGGGGGGGGGGGGGGGGGGGGGGGGGGGGGGGGGGGGGGGGGGAGTGTAATCCTCACATGCACAGTCCATGATGACCACACTAGCCATGAGGCCCTAAATCCTCAAACTTAAGGACCTTTCTGCCTATGACACAACACAAAAAGGGGTATGTACAGGCAATAATGACAGTTTTGGGCTTTTAACAACAAAAAAAAACATAGAAAGATAATGGACCCTTTTCACCTTGTGGTACACAAGGCATATGATGCTGACCTATATTTTGTATACACTAATCAGCACTTGGGGGGGGGGGACTGATGTGGTTAACATCTTGTTGACCCCCTTTTTTTTCTCAGGATATTTCCTGATACTCATTTTAGGCCAGGTCAACCTGAGATCAAAATTAATTTTGAAAACCTGATCCATAATAAGGATTTTTCTTCTTCTTCTTCCTGCTGCTGCTGCTTCTCCTTTTTCTTCTGTTTCTTCTTCTTTTTCTTCTTCTACTTCTTCTTCTTCTTCTTTTTCTTCTTCTTTTTCTTCTTCTCCTTCTTCTTCTTCTCCTCCTGCTGAGACTGCTCTTCTGACTTTTCTTCTTCTTCTTCTTCTTCTTCTTCTTCTTCTTCTTCTTCTTTTCTTCTTCTTCTTCTTCTTCTTCTTTTATTCTTCTTCTTTTTCTTCTTTTTCCTTCTTCTTCTTCTTTCTTCTTCTTCTTCTTCTTCTTCTTCTTCTTATTCTCTTACTTCTGTCTTCTTCTTTTTCTTCTTCTTCTTCTGTTCTCTTCTTCTTTCTTCTTCTTCTGATTTCTTCTTCTTCTCTTCTTCTTCTTCTTCTTCTTCTTCTTCTTCTTTTTCTCTTCTCTTCTTCTCTCTTTTTTTTTGTGTCACTGGCTGTAAGTGCAGTGGAAAGTCCCTTTGTTCGTCCATTTGAACTCTGATTTTGTGCCAGGCCTCAGTTTCGCTTTTATATCTGTTTTATTGAATTCTTTCTAAGCAGTTGGTTGTTCCTTGCCACTTGGGCAGATACACTCTGACTTGGAAGTAAGCTCCCAGTGAGTCGACTCCTATAACATGCTTGTTGGGCAGGCAATAGATCTGTCTTGTTTTTCCCACACTGGGGCTCTGGATCCCCAAGGGATAATAAGTGTTCAAACTGCATTATTTCTTCTTCTTCTTGTTTTATCCAATAGCATACGCTGTGAAGCATCACAGAGAGGAGTTAGGTGTAGTTTCCTGTCGTTTGCTAGTTGAGTAGCTTGTATTTATATCATATTGTGTTTCTAAAATGTCTCTTTTACTCCCTCCACCCATTTCTTTCTTGGTCGGTCTCTTGCCTTGTAGCCTGTTATTTTCATGTAGAATGCTCTAGCTTCTTTTTCTTCATCTCTTCCACCTTGTACCTCAGCTAAGTGATGGGGGAGATGTAACATTTGTTTATGAGCTCTGTCAAAAGCATTTTTAAGACTGATGTTAATTTCTGTAAGGCTTTTCTTAATGCCATTACTGTATCTTTTCCTAACTCTTCCACTTGCTCTATACTCGTTGTAATGTTCAAGTGTGGCTTGCTGTTGCAGATAGTACCAGGGCATTGTTACAGACAGCACCAGGGCATTTTTGTTTGGTGTCCAAACCACTTCATTTGTTGTTCTTTGATGACTTGTAAGACTGGCTTTTTTCCTAGCATTCGTCTGATTTCATGATTTTGTATTCTGTCTTTCCTTGACAGCTCTAGCTGCTGGCTGATTTTAACCCACTCAGACCAGATGACCAAATCATTTGATTCTTTGCTGTTCAGTGAAATCCTTTACCGGTACTGTGCCTACCATTGTTCTTATTCTTTCATTGGTGACTTTGTCTCTTCTTGTTTGAATTTTTGTTTTTGTTTTTCAAAGACTGTCCCTGTCTGACATTGATAGTACAAAGTTGGTGCAAACTGCACATTTGTCATCTGCTTTTTTGTCTCATCATCATCATGTAGCAGGTCCTTTGCAGAACATCGCTCTCATCACAGTCTGCCTGTAAGAAACTCGGTCTCTTGCCAGTTCTCCCGCCTCATGAACTTTTACACTCAAGGAGTCACTTATATCCTGTACCCATCTTCGTGTCAGTCGGCCTCTGCCTCTCCTTCCTGGTACCATGCCTTCTGCTATAATTTTTTCCAATCCGTCGTGGCGCTTGATATGACCAAAATATTTCAGCTTTCGAGAAAGGATGCTGTTTATTAGCCAATCTTCCTTGATGTTCAGATCTTTTAAGATGTCAATGCTTTTTTGTCTACATGTTGATATTTTGATGCTTCAAACGTGGGGCTGTTTTATATTTTACGTTGAGCTGCATTATTTTATTTGCTGCAACTCTCTCGCAGCCCAGGGCCAGTGTTTGAAACCGGGCTGTTCCCGGAGTTCACCCAGCCTCTAGGTAATGGGTACCAGAGTTAACACTCTGGGGTAAATGGAGAAACATTGCTGTAGCTACGGATTTGCGTACGGATGGTGTCACAGACGGACAGTTTCTTATCAGCTGTCCATACAGGTGGCAGAGCACTTATGGTTTATAACCGTGTGCAGTGACGCTGGTTCACATCTCCCGGCTTTACCTGTTTATTCATTTTATTGTATAACAATTCATGTCTGTTTTTTCCCTACAGATTTGCTGACTGGTTCGTCCATTACATGAAACTGTATATACTCATCATGTACATTTTGGCCACCATTGCTCTGATTGTGTTTTCTCTCATGCTGATCAATGTCATTCCACATTCCCTAGGTATGCTGTTGTTGTTGTTGAATATGTTTTTTTTTTTTTGGTGGTCTTTAGTGAGAAATTGTGTTGAAGCTGCAGAGATTAGTTTTAAACGGGGTTGCCCCATACGTTTCCATTGTCATCATCATCGTCAATTGCCTTGTTGACTGGCATGGGCGATCATGCCTCTTCACAGACTGTAACTGCGTGTATCAGTTCGTGAGTTGTCTCCCCTCTATGCCATAACAGAAGGCTGTCAAGAGTCTTTTCATGTTGTTTTCCTCTGTCTGGAAAGTGAGAAGCAACAACCAAATTCACAGTCTGTTTAAATCACATCTGATCACTGGCATCATGAGAGCTAATAGACTGAAATGGTTGGGGCATATTGAAAGAATGTCAGATGTCAGAGAAGTAAAAACTTTATACACGAGGGATATCACGAGGCAGACCAAGAAAATGATGGTGTCACCAACTAGAAAGGGAAGGCCAACCATAGAGATGGATGGAGGCAGGTGATATCTGCAGCAGTGAACCTCAAGGGCTTGGAATGCTGAAGAAAAAGAAAAAGAAGAATCAGTTCCTGAGGGGGAGGACGTATTTTCAAAAGGACTAATATCGAACAAAAATGTTCCCAGATAAATTAACCAAAAATGGTTTAATCTGTGGTTTCATTTCTAATATCCTACCCCAGATGACCTCACAAAACAGTCCAACATTTTAGAGAGTGGTAAGACTGGGTTTCCTGGCTGTTTGATGCTTTTAAAGACCCCAAAACATCTAAAACTGACCCTAACCCAAACCCACCTACGTCCCACGAGATAGTGCAACCTATCTACCACCCCCATACCTGTGGATTTCTTATGTTTGGGGTAGGATACTGAGAAAGCACCTAATTCGTTGCCAGCCCTGAATTTTGCCTTTCTGTTCTTTAACACATAAACAAATTGACCTTAGAAGTCTAGATTTTAATTGAATATTAATAATTGCTGTACTTAATGTTATCATTTTGACAGAGATTGACTCGTTCTGATTACAAAAATATACTCTAGGCCTACATAAATAGAATTTTAAAAACAAATGAACTTTTTTTTAGATAAAGAAAATGTTTATTTTTTGAAAGGCTAATCACCTTCCATTTTGATATCAAGTAATGTCACGTTTGGTGATTGATTTCATGATGATTCACCAGCATATGTGGCAGAGCGGCTAGACGCTGGCCGCAGATCAGGAGGGTCGTGGGTTCGCTCCCTGGCAGAGCCGGACTTTTTAAAAAAATGACCTTGGGTACCTTGAGTGGGTACCGGGTGCAGTCCCGGGAAGTAAAGGCGGCCGGCGTGATGCTGACTACATCACCCATCTTGTGCTGATTGGTCTATAAAAATATACGCCAAGCCCTATATGCCCTATACGCCTAATGGCGGGGAAAAGGGTCCTTTACTTTACTTTTACACCAGCATATTTTTTTTAAAGAAGTTATCAAGTGTTGATTATTTTGTTATGTTTTTGTTTTTGTTTTTTTCTGAAAGTGTCCAAACACATCATCATCAGATGAATTGATGCACCGATTAATTGTAGTGATGTTTGAGTGATATATCTTGATGAAAACCTGCATTTTTGCTTAAGCAGGCAGCCGTTCCTTAATTTCAGCTCTTGAAACTGGTCCGCCATCTTTTCCTCGTCTAATGACTCACCGGCCACTTCAGAGGAGGGACACATTTATTGGGATGAATCCCACCACGACCACATAATGAGCATTTAACAGCTGATGACACAAAGTGCCACCATTCAAATGAGAATTCCAGCATGCACAAGTCCTAAAAACCCCTTCAACCGTTAAGTTACTTTAAGGCCCCCCCCAACTGCAAAAATTTCAGATGAACGCATTGTCTCTACAGAGCAAGTTTGCAAAATATCAGGAACATACCTAATGAGGAAATGGTATGCAACTCAAATACAGAACTGGCCTCAGACAAGCCAGCCATCAAACAAACAAAACTGAACTGAACAAAAGCTTGTAAAACAAGGGCCTTTTACTTACTAATATATATATATATATATATGTAACAAATGGGTCATCAGTCTTCCCTTATCTTGGGTCGCATCATTGTGGTCCCCGTGATAACCAGTGGTTAGTCACCTATCTCCAGATTCTCGTTTAATCCAAGTATCTGGACTATCTCGGTGTTTTAGGTCAGCTTTGGGCCTTCCCCCCAACCATCCTAAACTGGGTGAAAATATCCCCCATTACATTATATTACCAGCAACTATCCTGTCTTTGTGTTTCAGTTGGCTTCTACGTAACCGTTATTGCCTCGACTGCCCTGGTCAACGCTGCTGTGCCTCTGCTCTATGAACTGGCCTGTGAGATGGCCTTCCCAACAAGTGAGGCAGCAGCCAATGGTTTGTTGACGCTCTTCAACAGTTTCTGGAGCTTGGTCTTCCTGGCCGTGCTCTCCATTCCAGGCGTTGGTAAGTGAAGGTTGGCAGTGATATCTTCAGTTGAAAATGGCACGTCCTGTTAATATTTGGAGCTGAAAATGGGACATCCCACTGATATTTCAGCTGAAAATGGGACATCCCACTAACATTTTGAGTCAAAAATGGGACATCCCACTAACATTTTGAGTCGAAAATGGGACATCCCATTAGGGTTACAGTGATATCTTCAGCTGAAAATGGGACATCCTGCTAATATTTTAAGCTGAAAATGGGACATTCTACTAATATTTTGAGCTAAAGATGGGACATCCCATTAGGGTGGCAGTGATATCTTCTGCTGAAAATGGGTTGTCCTGCTAATATTTTAAGCTGAAAATGGGACATCCTACTAACATTTCAGCTGAAAATGGGACATCCCACTAACATTTAGAGCTGAAAATGGGACATTCCACAAACATTTTAAACATTGTTTGTTAATAGCACTGAAGGGGGAAAAAACATACAGTGAAAATTCCCATTAAACACATTTCAGGCTTTTAAAGTAACTAAAAACTATTAAATTTAATAAGGTCTATAGATATAAGTATATGTTCAATTCTCGAGCTTATTGTCAAATTTTTTAACAAAAAGACGAAAATGACGAAGTTTTTTTTTTTGAGCACTGAAGGGACAGCCAGGACTATCTAACAAATGGGACTGTTCCAGTAAAAAAAAGGACGTATGGTCACCCTACAGTAAGTGGGGCAGGATATGGCAGTTAGTTGTGTGACCTTTACAGGAGATTACACACAGACACAGAATTTGCTGAATGTGATTTTGCTAGACAGTTTTGCATTCAGTTGTTATCGAGTGAGACCACCTAAAATTCATGGAGATGGGAATTAGGGAGTGAACCGAAAAAGATGGGAAGAAATAGAGTCAGCTACATATGATAGTAAAAGAATGTAGGACCAGGTTGGTTGAAGACGTGTGCTTCATTGGAGATAAAGGGCAGAAGTGGTCAAGCCATTTGCCTCACGCTCTAAAGGTCATGGGTTGTTTTATGGCTGTGCTATTCAATTTACAAGTGCAATTTTTACGGAAAATCTATGAGGATCATCGCCAGAGCTACGGAGTTCGTGCATTGTGTGATTCTCTCTGCAGGCAGCTAGCCATTCTGTTGAGAAAGGCCGAAGAATGTGGGATTCGAACCCGGTGCAATGAAGTCAGTCCTCTCCACTTATATCTTTTAGACCCTTGAACTTAGACAGTACATACAGTGGTGAATGTTGATTAAAGAATTGACACCACAGTACTTGGGACACTCCCATAAGCGCTTTGTCCCCATCTGCAGCGTTAAATGAGGAGTTCAAATTCCAATGGTACTAGTAACTGTCTGATTGTATATCAGTCTCGCCTTTCCATTAACTCTTTGTGTCCCAAGGAACGTATCATACGTGCATAGGTTCCTTACTAGAAGCCCAATGAATGCAAGATGCACCGATTTTACGTCTCTTTTGACTACCCCGTGGGCCTCTGATGCTAAACCCCCTGGGACTCAAAGAGTTAAGTACTGAGCATCAGCCAGATCCCCTGGGAACTCCTCACAGCGCAGGTCTGCTAAGACTGCAATTGTATTTTTGTGGCTCTGCAGTGTTCAGTCTCTCCTATTGAGACAGTGCTGAAGAATGTAGTCATTATTAAACTTAGATAATAGTCAACAGTGAGGTCATTGAACTTTGAGTGTTACACATCAGTTATTGAACTTGGATGATGTAATATAATGTAGTCATTAAACTTTGACACAGCACAGCCTTGGACTAGATATTGTTGCAGATGCAGTCATTAATCCTTTCACCCCGAGAACACTAAACAGAACAGGTCATAACCCCAGTAGAATTCCAGAAATGAATCTGATAAAAAACAAAATTGTACACCTGTCACTAATAAATTCTTTAATAATGTATGTGTGTGTATATTTATACATCTTTATGTATGTATATATTTTACATAGCTTATTTGTTTTTGTTACTGAAAAGCTCAAACAACATTGCTGTACTAGTTTGATAGCATATGTTCTTTATTCAAGACTCACATAGACTTTGTGAGCGTATATGCTAGTTAGGTGACATTTTTTGATTTATAATACTGACCGATAATGTTTAGGGTTGAATATTTAATTAAGAATTGAAATCGCAGCACTCAAGACGTTCCCATAGGCACTCAATCCCCGTCTTCAGCAGCAAGTGCAGAGTTCCAGTTCTAAGGAGATTCGTAACAGTCTAACAGTATTTCCATCTCACACTTTGTCCTCTGATTTTTTTTTTAATAAGTATCCAGAAACCATGAGTTGTAAACCCTTTGACTCATTACTATGATAGGTACCATAAATCTGGAAGAAATGGGGCTTTTCTGCCTACCCCTGGGTGTGAACTCAGACCACAAGAAGTTTGTCACCTGGTCGCTGCGCAGAGGGCTTTAACCAATTGAGCTAGTGAGCTGGGCTTGTCCTCAGATAGATTGCATGAATTTATGCTCTTTAGACAGCAGTTTGGGTTTGTGTCTTGAACATTCACGTAATTAGTATGATGGTATAAGTAAAGAACTTTTTCTATGCCTTTAGGCATATAGGGCTAGACCTATATTTTATAGACCAATCCGCCTAAAATGGGTGAATTTGAACAGCATTATGCTGGCCACCTTTACTTCCCGGGGCTGCACCCGTTACCCACTCAAGGCTGGGTCGACCTGGGAGCCAAGGTCATTTTTGAAAAAAAGTTCAGCTCCGACCAGGGAGCGAACCTACAACCTTCCGATCTGGTATATTCATATTGAATATTTAGCTACCATGTACAAATCGTTGTTTAAACACTCACAGATTTTCTGTCTCCACCCTATTTCAGGTACCATGTGGATGAACTGGACCATAGTTGGGTCCACTGCAGTGTGCATTCCGCTGATCGCTCTTATTAAAGGGAGATTCAACAGACTCGAAGTGGACGAGTGTATTCATACGGAGAATTACACAGAGCAAGAAGTTGAGGTTCCAGATGATGATGACGATAATGTCCACAGTCCTTTACTTGCAAACGGCCATGTACCCACAGAAAGATATGTGGACAAAGAAGTACCTGTTCCAAGGACATATGGCTCAATTGTGCCTCGGCAGTATGCGATTCAGAATAATGTACAAAATGGCAGTGTGTTGGTGGATACAAACGGTGTCCTCCTAGATGCAGATAGTCACTCAGATTTTAATGTCTCTGACGACCAGGATGAAATTACAAGACTCTTGGTTCCAGATCAGCGGGTGTGATTGTGGCCTGTGTTTTTGTGCTTCTGTTGTTACTTTTGCCAACTCTCTGACAACATTTGTTCGGAAATAATGTTCACAGTGGCAATTTGTTGAGGGATACGGATGGTCAATTTTCTGTTGCAATTACTCAGATTTTAATGTCTCAAAGCAACTTGATATTTACAGACACTTGGTTCCAGATCAGTGGGCATGATAATGGCCTGTTTGCATGTGTTGAGTAGCACTTAGCCATCTGTTTGATAAATGTGTTCTGAAATAATGTTTATAGTGGCAGTTTGTTGAGGGATACAGATGGTCAACTTGTAGGTTGAGGCTCACAGACTCTAAAGTTAAAGATGGCCAACTTGTAGGTTGAGGCTCACAGACTCTAAAGTTAAAGATGGTCAACTTGTAGGTTGAGGCCCACAGACTCTAAAGTTAAAGATGGTCAACTTGTAGGTTGAGGCCCACAGACTCTAAAGTTAAAGATGGCCAACTTGTAGGTTGAGGCTCACAGACTCTAAAGTTAAAGATGGCCAACTTGTAGGTTGAGGCTCACAGACTCTAAAGTTTCAGAGCAAGATGGATTTACAGAACACTGTGTTCAAATCTGTGGCCATGATTGAGGTCTGTTTCCATGATTGTATGATTACCTTGTCTCTTATCTGATGACATTTTGTTGTAAAATAATATTCATATTGGTAGTTTGTTAATGGATACAGGTGGTGATTTCCTGATACATACGGTCACTCAGATGCCAGTGTCTTGAGTGACATGATTTTAACGGACCTTTGGTTCTGGATCAGTTCACATGATTGTCACCTATTTGTGTGCTTTCAATACTACTGTGCAATCTATCTGATGACATGTGTTGTGAAATATATTTCTAGCAACAGTGTGTTAGCGGGTAAGATGGTGGACTTTTAGATACAGATGGTCACTCAGATTTCAACATCTCAGAACAGCAGGAGGTTAAAACTCATAGTTCCAGATCAACAGGCATGATTTTGGTCTCTTTACCATTGGATGACATATTTTTCTCCTGAAGTAGCGCTCTAAGTATAATTTGTTGGCGGATATGGAAGGTGAACTTGTAGATATAGATAGTCAGATTTTAACGTTTTCACAGCAGCATGAAATTAAAAAATTTTGTTCCTTTGCAAGTCATTTCCAAACCAACTGCAGCCGATTTGGCAGCTGACTTTTTTGTAATAATTTTGACAATGATATGGATTGCTGATTGTTTAGAAAGCAATGGCAAACTACCAAGCGTAAAATGCCTAGAAAATTCACAGTCAACAAATGGTGGGGCTAGTTTGTAACATCCTGGAAATGATATGCACCTAACTCCGATGTTATTACTGTCTTGAGTTCATGCTACTGTGGATAATTGTGTTTTGAAGAAAATGTTATGCAGACTGAGGTAGCTACAGTATTTGATTCTGTTATAAATGTGATATTATCAGACACTTACTTCCAAATCAGTGGAAATGATTTTAGCTTGTTCATTTGTTTTGTTTTACTACCTTGCCAACTATTTGATAACATTATTTCTGCTGTGACACACTATTATGAAATGGCGTTCCTAAAGTCCATTCTAAAAGTCATGCCCAACTTTAAAAATCTGTAACTGGGTAACCATCCTATGTAAATTATTGAGATATGGCATGCAACCTGTTAATAATCATATCCTTTTAAGAATTTTTTAAAAAAAAGCTTAATGAATTTTTTTTTAAATTTTGCCTTAATTGCACTATATGAAAATACAGACACCATTCAGTAGTATCGAGAATTCCTGTAATGATCTCTGCCTGGCGTTGGATAGGACACACGTTGAGAAAACATGAGAACAAAATAACAGAAACCCCACAAGGGTAAAGAAATAAAAGAAGACCTAAAAACACATGGAGAAGGGAGCTAGAGAGTTGAAATTAGAAAGATACAGAGAGCTGCATGCGCTTGCAAAGATTAGAACAAAATGGTATGAGTTGTTTCAGGGCCTATGCACCATTGGGAGTTGGGCAGAAGGAGAAGATCTCTGCCTGTGTCCTTCATTAGCTACCTCTGTTCAGCCGATGTCCCTTGCTATCCCCTAGGGCCTCATGCAGAAGCTGTTCTCTGTCCTTTGCCACTTTGAGGTACATTTTTGCCTATAACACCTTGTATCTTTCATATCTACACCACTGGGTGGTGAATTGATACATGGCAAGGCAGATGTGGTCAAGGCACTCTGGGAACAAGCAACGGAATCAGTAGAGATAGAAGATTATTATGGACTGGAGAGAATGAGGCACCTGGGTGCAACCAGAGGGTCTGGCCGGCTCACTACACTCAGAAGATAGGCAAGACGGCCATATAACCAGATTGTGACCAGTACCATCAGTATTGGAGCTCTGCAGTGGCTGCTGAAGATGAGGACGGAGCCTAGCGCTCTGAGTGCTGAGATGTCAATTCTTAACTCAACTCAAATCTTTCATATACGGATGGTAATATAAGTATCTGCTCCATGCACATATTAGCCTTTCCAATGTACATCCCAGAATGACTCACATGGCTTCATTTTGCATGCATTTCAGCTTCTCCATTTGGGTGTCAGATAACGTTTTAACCAAACTTTTTATTAACAGAGTGCTAAATACAACTCAAACTGTCACAGGAAAACTCAGTGCACAAGACAACAAAGCTTCTAAACAACCAAGTTCAGAATGAAACAAAAAAAGAGAAATGGAAACAAATATGGGCGTATAGGGTTATAATATAAAACAAAATAATTAAAAAGGTAATTGTAAAAAATTTTTTTTTAAAAATGCAGGACTTCACCAGGATTGCTCAGTTACTGCAAAGTGTGGGGGACAGTGTGCAGGGATAGACAATACCACAACAGCCAGTCCAAGACCGACCCTGGCTATCAGATTACATCAACACTCAAAATGCTGAAAGGGAGATAAAAAAAAGGGGGCGGGGGCGTGAGAAGGGGGTATTGCAGCTTCAAATAAATCAATCAATCAAATTATATTAAATAAGGCTAAGTTCAGTTAATATTGACCCTTCCAGACTAAGAATACCAAAACTGAATGAAGCAATTTCCATAAATGAGCATTAAGGAAAATGTTACATCAGCTTGACTTTTAACAAGCCTTTGGGATCATAAAAAAAAGCCCACAAAATGCTGTTGTTAGTTACGGTTTTGATATCCTGGCATATTAAAAAACTGAGCAGGCACACATGGAAACAGTGACATTTACTTACATTTGTTAAGAACAGGTCACTGCAGGCAGGTCGTTATATCAGAATTATTGGACCTGTCGAAGCCAGAAGAGACTAGATGTAGTCTTCTCAGGGGTGACAGGGTTATTGCTTCCTTTTCCAAATCATTACTTTATTAACCCACACCATTCTAGTCAGTTAGTTAACTTTTTTATGTCCATGTACACTTTACTGATTCTCAGCCGCCCAGATACTGTTTCTTTATTTATCCGGATTTTTCCAGACATTACATTCACCCCTCCAGTTTTTTTTTTAACGTTTCCACTCATGTATCATATTCTGTGTAAATCACCATTGATCACTGCTAATAGACTGAAATGGCTGGGGTATATTGAGAGAATCTCAGATTACAGAGAGGTAACAATTATATACACAAGAGAAATGAATGGTCATAGGCCACCAGGCAAACTAAGATGATGATAGAGAGATAGTTTCCAGACAGACCTACAAACACTCACAGATTTGGTATCACTAAGTGGAAAGAGAAGGTCAACCAGAAAGATAAATGGATGTGGGTGATATCTGCATCAATGAACCTCAAGGGCTTGGAGTGCTGGAGAAGAAGAAGAAGAAGAAGAAGTCACTTATCCCTTCACGTTTTTTAACCCATCTAGTCTTTAGTTCTTTGATATTTAATCCATCTAAAGCGATTGCTATATTCACCTACACTATTCCAGCCGTTAGATTAACCCTTTCAGTCCTAGTCCATTGTTATTCAGTCCATCCAGGGCTGTTGCTATATTCACCCACATTATTCCAGCCGTTAGATTAACCCTTTCAGTCCTAGTCCATTGTTATTCAGTCCATCCAGGGCTGTTGCTATATTCACCCACATTATTCCAGCCGTTAGATTAACCCTTTCAGTCCTAGTCCATTGTTATTCAGTCCATCCAGGACTGTTGCTATATTCACCCACATTATTCCAGCCGTTAGGTTAACCCTTTCAGACCTAGTCCACTGTTATTTTATTCATCCAGGGCAGCTGGTATACTCATCATCATCATCTAGCGTGTCCTTTGTAGAACTTTGCTCAGTCTTTGGCCAGCTCTACCACCTCATGTACTTTCATATCCAAGGAGTCACTTATATCCTGTTCCTATGTTCCTGTTGATCGGCCCCTGCCCCTCCTTCTTGGTACCATGCCTTCTGCCTTGAAATGACCAAATTATTTCAGCTACTGAGACAGGATGCTGTTTATATTATACTCATCCACACTATTCCGGCCATTCATGTCAAAATCAATAACGAAGAGACTGAAAATGTCAGAGTTTTTAATGTTTAGGCTTAGTAGTGAAAAACACTGGTAATTTTACTATAGGAGTTTTAACAAAGATTTTTTAAACAAAAGACTCAAGCAGAGAGTAAACAGAATGAAGAACCTATAGCACAGCATATGTAAGTAGGTTTAAGTAAAAATGTTGAGATTATGTATCTTGAGTTGAGTTGATTCTCATAAGCGCTCTGTCCTCCTCTTCAGCAGCCAGTGCAGAATTTTGATACTAATAGTGCCAGTAGCATTCTGAATAAACGTCCATCTTGCCTTTCCTCTGAGCCTCGAGCATCTGCCAGAACCTCTCGTCACTCTCTCCTGCAACAATCTCACTGGACTGTGGTGATCCATCTGTTCCTCCATACTGTACACGCTCTCCAACAAGGCACTAACCACGTCTGCCTTGTCATACATCAGTATCATGTATCTTTTCCATGGCAACTTATGGTTCTGTGTTGTGGACACTTTATCAGTCTTTAGAGAA